GAAAAACATAATAATAAATTTAGTTATCAAAAGATATGCTGCGTCACAAATAGGAAGTTGACGCCCCTGCAGATTGTTTTGCCCTAAGTTGTAGCGTATGCCTAAATCCAGCAGTAGTGTTGTGTATTCAGGACAAACATGAAATAGTTAAATAACCACTAAAACATTCACCTAGCTAAGTTTGTTTGTTACAGCGTCCCTGGCTGTGGCGTTGCGAGTCCGACTCGTAATTCCAACATACCCCGATCAACACCCACTACTGACTGCATGGATTTTTATCATGGTATGGGGCGTCGCAAGTTCACCCAGTTTAAAGTGGGTACCAGGATGTATGTTCTGGGGAAGTAAAAAAACGGCCGGCGTAATGCTGACCACATTATCCAGCTAGTGCCGACTGGTCTGTAAAAAATATCGGTGCTCTTTTCATATGCCTGATGCGCCCAAGGCATGAAAAGGGATCTTTACTTTTTTACTTAAGTTTGTTTGTTGGTACTGATTCCAACTTCACAGCAAATGGGTTGATGCATAAATTCTCTTTTTACCGTAACAGCAGCAGCAACAACAACAACAACAAAACAGCATGCACACTCAATCAATGCATAAGGCAGCCATCAGATGTGCCAATATCAACATAACAATGGCTATAATTATACTCCACAACGCAAAAATGCTGGGCATCTATCTGAATCAAAAACGCATGACTGAGAGACTGACTTTCTACCCCACCAGGACATCACACAAGCGATAAACACCCGATGACACAGCGTGCCACCATGTGGGTGAGGATCACCGTGGAGAGGTCACAGAAACCGCGTTTAGCCTTTAGGCCATATTTATAGCCAGGATATATTGCGGCCCCTAAAAAGGACGCAAATATTATTAAAAACGCATCAAGTCAATCTGACTGACTGACTGACTTTCTACCCCACCAGGACATCACACAAGCGATAAACACCCAATGACACTAAGTGCCACCATGCGGATGAGGATCACCGTGGAGAGGTCCCAGAAACCACGTTCAGACAATTGGCCATAGCCATGGCCTGCGTATATTGCGGCCCCTGGCAAAAGCCAGGGTGGGGCTTCAAATAACAAAAAATTACGTCCTGAAAAGGACGTAATGATATTATATTAAGTCAATCTTTGTCATAAAAGACAGTAATTTCCCCACATCGCAATACAAATAATGAATAGCATTCGTTTAATTAGAGAGAAGAATAGTTACATTTAAAATACCGTTAATACAATCATTATCATCATCAGCCCGTAAAACTACATGTCGTTGCGTCACCAGATTCTGTTGACTGTTTGATCAGCTCTCTCCACCTTTGGCGATCAGTTGCTATGTACTTCATTGTTGCATGCCTGAGGCCTGTCCGGTCAGTCAGGTTCTGTAACCAGGTCTTTCTTGGTCTGCTTCTTCTCTACTGAACCCTGCAGTATTGTTTCTAAGACGCCGTTAGATCTTATTACAAGTCCATACCATTGCATTTTTCGCATTTTCACTGTAGTTAAAAGAGGTTCATAGTTGCCAGTAGTCACCGGGGTTAATACAATATTATTCAGAAAGACATGAACATTACGATCAGTAACTTCTAACGAATTTTAAAGAGAGAGGAGGGGGGGGGGGGAATTGAACGATTATTTGATAAATGAAATAAAACTCTACATTATAGAGTGTCTAGAACGCGGCTGGCTGGCAAACTGTAAATTCAATGACTATCATATGATATGTGGAAGATGTGAGGCATTTAAGTCACTATGGCAACCATATACGCTTGCCGTTAGGCTCTATAAGGTGGTGCAATAAATCGTGGATTAGCAGTTAATAGGTACCACTCTTTAGAATCGTCTTCTTCGTCACTTCCTCTTTTACCGCTGTGGGTGTCGAGGGAGATATAAGGTTCTGTTTCTAGCTCTTCTGGCTGCCTCGACCATAGGCACATCGTGCTGTTGTAGAGTTTCTCTGATGTTATCCTTCCATCTTGTTCTTGGTCTACCCCGTGCTCTACGTCCTTCTCCTCTTTCCATGTATGCTTTGTATGGTATGGTGTCACAAGGCATTCTCTCTAAGTGGGCAAACCATTTCACTTGCTGTCTTTGTATGTAATCCAGAATTGGTTCTGTGCCGACTTGTTCTCTTATGATCTCATTCCTGATCTTATCTCTTATGGTCTCTCCTACAGCCCTTCTCAGACATCTCATTTCCGTGGTTACTAATTTTCTTTAGAATCGTCAACCATCTTATTCTTGACATCAAGGCTTTGAAGAACGTGTGTAAAAGTAATAATTACCATTGTAGACAGACAGTAACAGCCCTACATAAGATAGACTTTCGGAAACAATATCCCCTTGTGAGTTCCGGGGCCCCACTGGGTGAAAAGGGACCCACTTGCATCCTTGAGAACAAAAAAAAAACATGTCGTAAGACTCGACTATTTAGGAGTTTTTTTCGCAGTCGTGGTGAATCTGTCTGAGAGGAAAGTAGAAAACAGTCAGCAAACAAATAAGCCAGATCTATGCGACGGGTGTGCCCACAAAACTCAAGTTATTAAAACACAACTAGGGTCCGAAAGTATAAGAAAAAGAAGAAGAAGAGGAGGAGAAAGAAGAAAAAGAATAAGAAGAAGAAGAAAAAGAAGAAGAAAAAGAAGAAGAAGAAAAAGAAGAAGAAGATGATGATGATGATGATGATGATGATGATGATGACGTTGAAGAAGAAGAAGACAAAGAAGACAAAGAAGAAGAAAAAGAAGAAGAAGAAAAAGAAGAAGAAGAAGAAGAAGAAGAAGAAGAAGAAGAAGAAGAAGAAGAAGAAGAAGAAGAAGAAGAAGAAGAAGAAGAAGAAGAAAAAGAGGAAAAAGAATTTGAAGAAGAAAAAGAACAGATTTTAAGGGATTGTTAGACCACACTTTGGCCTTGACCAAACCCCTAATTAGCCTCCTTTTACGACATGCTTGTTGCGGTGCATTGGAGCCGTGGGTCTTTTTTTCTGAAATGACGCAAAGCATACACATTTATAAGCAGCAACGATTAGTGCTGGACTAAGAAAGCGTGATAGAAAACATTGCAATAGTGATGACACATTGCAGTGTTTTCAGAAACATGCTTGCTAGGGAGCAGTGGGTATATTCCCCCCCCCCTCACTCCCCACCAACCTCCCCAATCCAAAATGGGCGCCTGAACTTACACGGAGAAATTCCTATTTAATTGCAACATCTCTTTTTCGCCGCCCTTCATTATCTTTATTAGATCTGCCAAACAAGGGAAAGCGCTCTGTTAACGAGGTTTGGAAAACACAAAACAAAGCCTGTGCACAGTTTTGTCCACCTAATGAGTCTCAGTTGTTACCCTTTTCATGACATTGTCATGAAGGTCTCTTTGTATGCTTCGACTAGGTTAATGACTAGTTGATTGATTGTCAAGTAGCTGCAGCGATAAGCAGAAATGTGAGTTATTCCGTCAATAATCCCTCGTTGTGGGTTCAGGTGATAGTTCTAGCTAGCGAGAAAACTGATGTATCGGTCCTCGATCCACTATGGGCGGCAGTTTTCTATGTTAAGACTTAGGGTGAGTTGAGTTGCGTTGCAGCACTCGCAGCATTCCCATTAGTGCTCCGTCTCCATCTTCAGCAGCCGGCACTTAGTTTCCTCACCAATGGTGCTAGTAGCAGAGTGATTATATGTCCGCCTTGCCTTTCCTCTGAGCGTCCAGTATCGGCCAGATCCCCTCGTCACTCTCTATTGCATCACTCTTACTAGACTGTGGTAATTTATTGCTACTCAGTATTGTACACAAGGCCCTAACTACGTCTGCCTTATCATGCATTCACATTCCACCAAGTTGTGCAGAACCCGCCAGTATGTCTGCATGTTCATTTCTCAACACACAGGTATAGCCCGTGACCTTTAAAGCGAAGCGTGATGTGGTGATGTGGTCAACACTACACCGGCTGCGTGGACTTCCCAGGATTTCCCTAGTACCAATTTAATTTTTGGTCCAACTGGGAGCAAAGTTCATGAATTTATACCAGAAAAAAAAAAAAAAAAGATGTCTGGCTTCCGGCGGACGTAAACCAACGACCAATCGATTTGCAGATGAGCATCTATACGCTACACCACGGTGGCTACTACTGCAACTCGTGAACGTAAATTACCCAGTAAAACAACATGACAACTTATAAATGCTGTGGTTGGTAAAAACAGTCATGAAAAGAATATACAGCCAACGTTAATGAGTAGCCGTACGTGTACTTATTCGTACAACCAGGCAATATCATCATGTAAAGGCGGCAACTTCTCATCCTAGCAGGGTAACTTCTCTAGCGTGACACTAAATCTCACTATCTTTCCGTGAAACATATAATTGCTTATCATTCTTACAAATGTATTTCTTATGCAGTTACAAATGCGCAGTAGTTCATTCTTCAGATGGCTTCTAAAGCACATAGTGGAGGAAAAATCCATATTTCTTGTTCTTGTTCTTCTTCTTGTTCTTCTTTTTCTTCTTGTTCTTCTTGTTCTTCTTGTTCTTCTTCTTCTTCTTCTTCTTCTTCTTCTTCTTCTTCTTCTTCTTCTTCTTCTTCTTCTTCTTCTTCTTCTTCTTCTTCTTCTTCTTCTTCTTCTTCTTCTTCTCCTCCTCCTCTTCCTCCAGTCATATTTTACCTTTCAGAGTCAGGTTTTCAAAAGACATCACGTGCGAGCCTTTGAATGTATTAGCGTAGATGCTGGTTGTTATGGCCATAAGAAATTCCATCTTTGGATCGCTTGCATAGCCGACCTCTAGATCTTCTTTCGTTATGTCTAAGCTACAGGGTTCTACGTGAAGCGCTCCCTGGTGGTATTCTGACACATGTCTGAATCATTTGATCAGTTGTCCCTTGATGTAGTTTAGCACTAGTTCAGTCTCAAACATATTACTGATATCGTCATTTCTGATCCTGTCTCATCTAGTTATATTTAGGATTTGTTGTAGGCATTTCATTTCCATAATAATTTCAACTAAGAATGGATAATCTTCCACAATGTATCTGAGAAAAAGGACAAGATGACAGCAATCTGAAGAGCCATGATGGCGTTGACGTTTGGGTCACTTCCTGATGATCTGTTGCATCCGTCATGGTCACAAGCTTTAAGGCACCCCTTGATTCGATGTTCCCCATTCTCTTCCAGGTATCGGATGTCGCCACAGTGGCTGCCCCAGTCGCCATCGCTGCAGTCTCGGACGGTTATTTTTATGCCATCATCTGGGGACACACGGAGAAGAAGATTACTGTTATAGCTGCACTTTTATGTCTCATTACAGACACACACGTAGAAAGAGAGAGAGAGAGAGAGAGAGAGAGAGAGAGAGAGAGAGAGAGAGAGAGAGAGAGAGAGAGAGAGAGAGAGAGAGAGAGAGAAAGCGAGAGAAACGTTGATCACAACAATCATTTCCTCACACCACACTTACGCATACAACACATACACATGATCGTGAATACATACACACACACATACACACAGAGGGAGAGACATGGGGGAGGAAAATCACTGATATCCTTTTCTTACATCACACTCACACATGTGCACTAACATTAACGTGCACAACATTCACGTGCGGAGGATACTATTTAAGGCCAATAAAAAAAAATTGTCAAGGAAGCACATAACCAAGGAAAGGCCCCTTGTCCACACCTTTAGGTGGGCTCAGCTTATAGTGATTGACTATAGTTTTATAGACCAATCGGCACTTGGTGGGGGAATGTGGTCAACATAACGGCACGGTGAGGGAATGTGGTCAGCCTAACGGCACTTGGTGGGGGAATGTCGTCAGCATCACGGCACTTGGTGAGGGAATGTGGTCAGCATAACGGCACTTGGTGAGGGAATGTGGTCAGCATAACGGCACTTGGTGTGGGAGATGTGGTAAGCATCACGGCACTTGGTGAGGGAATGTGGTCAGCCTAACGGCACTTGGTGAGGGAATGTGGTCAACATCACGGCACTTGGTGAGGGAATGTGGTCAGCCTAACGGCACTTGGTGAGGGAATGTGGTCAGCCTAACAGCACTTGGTGGGGCGATGTGGTCAGCATCACGGCACTTGGTGAGGGAATGTGGTCAGCCTAACGGCACTTGGTGAGGGAATGTGGTCAACATCACGGCACTTGGTGTGGCGATGTGGTCATCATCACGGCACTTGGTGAGGGAATGTGGTCAACATAACGGCACTTGGTGAGGGAATGTGGTCAACATCACGGCACTTGCTGAGGGAATGTGGTCAACATCACGGCACTTGGTGGGTGAATGTGGTCAGCATCACGGCACTTGGTGGGGCGATGTGGTCAGCATCACGGCACTTGGTGGGGCGATGTGGTCAGCATTACGGCACTTGGTGAGGGAATGTCGTCAGTATCACGGCACTTGGTGAGGGAATGTGGTCAGCATCACGGCACTTCGTGAGGGAATGTGGTCAACATCACGGCACTTTGTGAGGGAATGTGGTCAGCATCACGGCACTTGGTGGGGAATGTGGTCAGCATCACGGCACTTGGTGGGAGAATGTGGTCAGCATCACGGCACTTGGTCGTGACGTGATTAGCAGCACGCCTGCTGCCTTTACCTGCTAGGACTCCACCTGCTTCCCACTCAAGGTTGGATCGACCAGGGAGCCAATGTAATTTTTAAAATAAAATAAAAAGTCCGATCCCGAATGGACCCGAGTCCATGGCCTTCAGATTCGTAGTCGAGAGTCTAGCCGCAACACCACAGCGGCTCCATGGCAGATAACTGAAGAAAAAACAAATTATCAGCTAAAAGGAAAGGTACTCCCTGTGTTGGTTTCGATGTGCCATTGGAGAGGTGAGGGGGGATGGGGTGAACTAAGTGGCTTTCTATCAAGCATGTCGTAAACGACACCTAGTTAGAGAATTTTCCTCATAAGTTCGAGTGTATCTGCCTGAGCGGCGAAGAACCAACAGCCTGCTTACTTGTATAGTCTGTAAAAAGGATATGCACACTAAACTCAAGACTGAAATCTAGAACAGAAACCCAAGACTTTCTGATACGCAGGCGAGCGTCTAGCCACTACACCACGGCGACCAATGACGTTGAATGCTACTGAATATCTTTTTTCGAGTTGGCTGCCCAAGGGTACCGTCTCAGGCATAGAAATAAACTAGGTGGCAAGGCCCGATATAGCACTAACGTAAAGCATAACAGCACTCGTGGGCCTTTATGATCCCTGGTGAACTGAGGGAAATACAGAGGACATAGTCTGAGATATGAATTTTACAGACACCTATGTGCACACACACATACCGATATTTAACAAATATTAGAAAGGCATAAACGATGATCGATGACACCGTAGGAGATGAAATGGCAGAAGATGGGGAGAATATATATATATATATGTGTGTGTGTGTGTGTGTGTGTGTGTGTGTGTGTGTGTCTTTGTGTACAAACTACAAAGAATATTTATAGACAGTTTAGTTTCATCTTGCAAAAGGATGAACATATTTATTACCCACGCCACTCGAGAACCGCAAGACAAATACAAATAACCACCACACTGGGTTAAATCCAGCTAACAGTGTGATGGCAAACGAACAGAATTGTAGGTAAAGACGAGGCAACAGACAGGAATATTACATCAAATACCAAAATTACAGTAAACAATCCAATCTAAATACAAACATTAGAGTAAACAGTCAAGTCCAAATACGAAAATTAGAGTGAACCATCAATCTGGGAAAAGGGAGAGGGGGAGGAAGTTAAAAGGGCACAAGAATAATATTGAGATTACTTAAAAGGTCACATAAGTAGTGGGAGACATGGATAAGGAAATGTCTGAAAATAATAAAAGAGATAGAATGACATTCAATGAGACGAAATGGCAACAGAAAGGGAGATCTATATTTGTGTGTGTGTGTGTGTGTGTGCGTGTGTGAGAGTGTGTGTGTGTGTTTGTGTGTTAAATTTACATCTCACTATTTATGTGACCTATGTGACCTACAGGGTGACCTAAGCATTCTTCTTCTGCCTATTGAACTTTAACCCCCCCCCCCCCCCTTTCCAACCCTGCCCTTTTTAAAAATGTAATTTTACTAAGGGAAGTAACCTGATATTTGCTACTGCAAATTTTACTTAAAGACTGTATGTCTATTTGTCAAAGGAACTTTCTTTTGAGATAGCTTTTTGCCAAAAAATGTAACGGTAACGGAGTCTTAGGCGTTACGAACGCGTTTTGTAATGCTGGGGTGCCGGATTCGATCCCAGCTGCGGGCCTTGCGCCTTGCGTTGGTTTCGACAGTGGTATGGAGAAGCCGACCGTCCAGCGGGCAATGGCAAACTGCTGGACGTAAACTTGACTTGAAAAACAACAAAAGACACACAAAAAATGCTAGTATTGGTTCAGCAACGTCATGCAAAGGATACGCAACTAACTTAACTTGAAAACTTTGCTGGAAATCGATCTGCAGCATATTGTGGCAGTACGAAGCAGTTGGACTGTGAGATTACATTAATTCATATATTGAATAAACAAATGAGAGAGCGCCTAACATACCAGTCCTCCGAATATCGAATGCAATTTTTTGTTATTTTGAAGCCCCACCCTGGCTCTTACCAGGGGACGCAATATAGCCCGGTCATAAACATGGTGTAACGACTGAACGCGGTTTCCTGGACCTCTTCACTGGTGATCCTCATCCGCATGGTGTCACTTTGTGTCCTCTGGTGTTTTTCGCTCTGTGTGATGTTCTAGTGGGGTAAAATCTACTATTTATCGATCGCTAACCTTGCTATACAACAGACACTTCTCAAAGATGTTTTAATGACTTAATTGTATGGGTAATCATGACTGCACTTCGAGCATGTCCGTGGGTGCTGAGATCTTCCCCTCAGTATGAACTGCAGCGTCCGGTGGCTAATAGCAATGACTGTATGAGCGAATTTCCACTTACAGAGAAATGACAAAGGCCGCACATTATTATTTACTGTTGAATATTTAAAGCAGCAGTGCCTGTTGAATGCACTGGACATGTTCTGGTGTGTATCATCTGTGTATGTCAGGGTTCCCTTAAGGATGAAGCCGCGTCAGGTGCAGAGATCCG